AAAGTTTATTATTATAATAATATTTATTATATGTATGTGTGAGTGTGTGCGCACACGCTCGCTCATGTTGGTCATTGAGAATTTCTGGGGTTCCTATGAGATGATGACTTGTATGTGGTACTTGGATGCTTTGGCTGGATCAGGGGTGGTACTTGGTCCAAAAAGTTTGAGAACCACTGGTCTAGTGAATCTTTGACAGGAGTCTTTAACTGAAAGTATGAAAGATTAAGATTAAATCTGAATGACTGCTTTAGGGAAAACTGAAGCCCACAGCAAATGAACATTTCCTAAGGTAGCTGATCTTCCAATCTACCTGTGTCACAGCACGTATGAGAAGACTATGTTGCAGATGTCCTTTAATGCTTTGTAGAGTATGAATTCATCACATTTAACTGTCATCTTAGAATCCAGCGTTTGCTGCTAAAATACATTACTCACAAGGCTGTGATCCACTCGAAAGAAGGCCATCTGGCACGGCTTATTCAGCAGGTTAGCAAAAGCGATGAAGGCATCAGCCGTGTCAAGGTTGAGAATCAACACTGCCGCAATGAAAGACATGCCCTGCACCTGCAAACAGAAAATAGGCACTTATTTAGGCAATTCATTAAAAAGTTGAAGAACTGACTTGTGAAAGTCAGTGCTTAACTTCTCAAACGTTGCCATTTAAAATTAAACACCTCACTTTGCTAGTTGTTGAAGGACAAAAGCTGATCTTCCATTTTGCTTTGCATGATTAGAGTATTAAAGTTTATACACAATGTCCATTCAGATTTGAACCTCATCCGGCTCTAATCAAACCCTGATAAATTAATTATCTTGACTAGTTTTAAGTGCAATGTTTTCTTGATTCAAGGCAACCTATACATACCTATACACATGACTATAAACAGTTTATTGATTGATTAATACTTAACCTAACCTTGATTAATTTTTCATAAAGGGGTGCAGTGTAATTTCAACTTAGAAGATCTAATGTGCAAAACAAGCTACGCAATAATACAACAATAATATAAGCTGTCAACAACCTAATGCTGTAGAATGAGAGGCATAGGAGAACAGCGCTGGGGAATGTGGTTTCTAGGCTGCAAAGTAGAAAGATCAGTATTGACTGATGCACTGTTTAATCAAGAGTTTAATTTTGGAGTCATCAATTAAAAATCCAATTTGCTTTTAAAGCAAAATTTAAGTTGCATTTTAACCACAAATCATGCTCAAAAATATACATAACATTTTTACAAAGAAAGAGTTAAGGGCTAATACAAAGAACTTCACAGAAGGGCAGGTTTGCTTCAAAAACAGTGTAAACCAGCGCGAGCACTGCTGTGGTTTGAAAACCTGCATCTTTTGTGCTAAGCCACCGACCACAGTCCCCTTCTGCTGAATTCATCTGCAGTCCGTTCTCAAAACACCTCGAGGTGAGGATGGGCAATCTATATATATATATGTTTACACAAAAGCTTTCTTTAGAGATCAATTTGCCTCTATCTAAAAGATGAAGTGATAAGCATGAATGTGGAAGGAGCAGGGAAGTCAGAAAATAAGATTGCTTGTTCACAACGTCTTTCACAATCAAAATAAGTTCTGACTTTGTCATTTAATAGAGGTTAAAAGATCTCACAGAAGCATTAGGACAACAGCCTTCTGAAAGCACACAGGCAGCCATTACATTATCATCCCATTTTTTTTAACACCCAAAATAAATGTTGAAAATAAACCATTAAACTATCAAAATATAACAAGTCATGAGACCAACTATCACAATCTTACAGAAGCCTGCTTGCTATCTAATACTCTGGGGCTGGGTACATCAATGTGCATTTAACAAACTCAGTTTACTGTCTAGGAAATGTTAAACACTGTTAAAATTGTATGACTTGTAAACTGTGGATAAAGGAACATTATATTTAATAATTTAATCTAATTGTTATTAACTTATATTATTAAGTGTTTTGCATCCTTTTTAAAGAATATACTCTAGGTGTAACTTTGCTGACCTCAATTAACAACAGAAGGGTAAATTTGTAATTACATCTGGGCACAAGTACTTCTTTTCTATTTAGAAAGTATATTTAATCCTGTTTTATCATTGGACTGATTTTAATTCACACTGATGTAACCAGCCCTAAAAGATGTTGTTAAGCAGGCTTTTATAAGATTTTGCAATCTAAAATTTATTTGATTTTTATTAGAATAGCAACAATTTTAATATTTAAGCAAAAACTACTATGTTAAGCATAAGGTTAATTAGAAATATGTATTTGGAACAATCACTGCTACAAGAAGGACATTAATATATAGGACTACACTACACAATAAAAATATATAAAAATGACAATACCATTTTCTTCTTTATCCAAATCATTATTATTAACCTGCTCATGCTTGGGGTTTTCTTAAATCTCATGCACTGTGTTTAAACCAACTCCAGAGCAGGACTAAAGTAGAATCTGTATTATACGTTACTGTAGTGTGTGGTGAGACTATAACCTTGACTGAATCTAGTGTAATTATTAACCTTGTAAATACAACCTGTGATACAATCCAATCTTAATGGTTCTTTGTGTTGAACAAACCTCTTTAATTTCATTCATTTAACTTTTACTGTACCTTAGATATACGACTCTAAAAGGAACTAATTGCCACTCTGAAACCTGTAACACTTCATGTAATCAAACGTAGGATCCTTAGATGTAACAGATATGGCACTCAATTCACAGCAGAGTTATCTAATGAAGATTTGCAACAGATAACTCATACTGTCTGACAGAAAACAGGAATTATTTACTGTCTGCCCAACTGTTAAAGTATGACGAAAATGCTCCTGTGTGAGTGAAATTATTAACAGTTGTATTTCAAATCAGGAGTCAAGTTAGGAGAAACGTTTTATTGGTTTGCTCTGCCTCTTATACATGACTATGACCGGGTTTATACAGAGCAGTCAAAAAATAAGTATTGCTGTACCAAGGTTTATTTGAGATTTTTTAAAATATGAAATAGTCAAATCTTAATTATTTATAGTTACTATTGTAGAAATTGCAAACTATCACAGCATAAGGCAAAGAGAGAACAGAACATGCCCTATTGGAGCCATCTTTACTATTCAGGACCGGGAAACCCCATGGTCCCTGCAGCTCAGTTTCTTCTGATTAGAAGAGTGATGCAGCTCTTAGCAACACACCTGCAGGGCTAAAAGGTGCCCAGCAGAGCATACCTTGGCTCACTGGCACAAGCCTAACCGTTCCTGGTGGCTCTGTTCCACCTGCTTGAACTGCAGCTACAGTGGGCCAGTAACAACCCAGGCCTGGACTGGCGACATCTGGACTCCAAATGAGCCATAGTTTTCACATGGCTGTGAATCTATTCGCACGTACAGCACTGATCAACACTTTGAGGAGACTGGAGAACGATGTTTATCATTTTTCTTCGATCTCTAGATTCACCGATATCTTTGCACCCCTTATCAGAGCGGCCCTACAATTTGTGAAACCCAAGCTGTCACTGATGAGGAAGTTGTTGAATTGTGATTAGTGGCAACTTTCTTAGTAACAGGTAAAGGATTAATCCATGCTGAAAGGGAAAAAGAGACTCTTCTTTCTTAGGAAACTAAGGTAGATAAAACTATTCTTATACTTTTCTACAAATCATTTATTGAAAGTGTCTTAACATACTGCTTCACTTGCTGGTTTGACAACATAAGTACCAGTAATTGTAATAGGCTGGGTAAATTAGTGAATATAAGTGGCAAAATAATTGGGAATAATCAAATCAACTTAATTATCCTTTACAGAGGGTGACTAAGAAAGCCAAAAGCATCATGGAGTGTGTTTCTCACCCCCTCCACTGCGAATTCACACTTCTCCCAGCTGGGAGAAACCTCTGTGCCCCCAGGTGTAAAACCAACAGACTCAGGAAATCTTTCATTCCCACTGAAATTACACTCTTAAACAATGAAAAGTAACTACCTTGTTTCTTATGTCCTGTAACACTACTATATTCTCTTCCCTTTTGGTGATGTTTATTTGTCATTGTTTTGTTTGACTGCGCCGTAAAACAAATTTTCCCTAGGCGACAATAAAGCTTGAATTGCAATTGAATTTAAAAAAATGAAACAACATTTTGGCTATGCAGCCTTCTTCAGGTGTGTGCTGAAATGTTGTGCCTTTTCTTTTCCTTTCAGCATGGAATAAATCTTTACCTGGTCCTTTGCAGCCTACACATTCTGATGCAGCTACCTACTTGAACGTTCTTAGTAAGTGTGATTAAATTCCACACTTAATAAGAAACCTGTACAATTAAAGGTTATGTTGCCTTGTATATTTATTTCCAGTAATTGCATGTTAAATGTTTATCTGAACAAAGTTCCTTCTTCTAATTATGAAAAGAAAATGGACAGAAAGACTTGTACAGTGTGTTTCCCTGGATTACTAATATCTTTGTATCTCCAAGCAGCTGCTACTCTTCTTGAAAAAAGCATTACAGCCACTCCTGAACTTGGGGCTATGCACACTCCCAACAAGCATCTGTGGGACTTCAAGGCTAAAACTAGGGGACTAGATTGTTGTGTTTACATTTCTGTTAGAGCCTTAGTACAAACACTGAGAGCCTGTCACCATATGAAAAGGGAATGTGAATGCCACAGATGAAGCATGATGTCATATGAAGCTAGCGTCTACAGTAAGTTACAGTCTTTCCATCTGTCTCTTTTCTAAATATTTATCTAATACAGGGCCGTGGAGGAGCCTGAGACTATCACAGCCAGCAACCAGCACAAGGCAGGGACTTCAGTCCATCACAGGGAGGACACAGACCTGTGCACACTCACAGCAGGGCCAGTTTTTCCAGAAGTCAATTCACCTACCAGCATATCTTTGGACTGTGGTAGGAAACCGGAGCACCCAGAAGAAACCAGGAAACCCATGCACACACGGGAAGAATACACAAACGCCACACAGATAGCGTCTCAGGTCCGGAATTGTTAACTGGTTAAATTGTTAACAATGCGAACCACTGTGGCACCCAATTACAGTATTTCTACAAAATAAATTATCGATGCAAAATGCTTACATATCCCACATCAGGCCGGTAGCAGGTGTATGCTCCCAGAATGCTGTGCAGCATGTCATGATAAGGACCTCCCTGCAAAACAGAAGTGATAAAAAAGGGAGCCAGCTTATATGCTTTTCAGAACGCTGGCTGCTAGATCAGCTCTCACTCACTACTTTTTATAAACCATTTTCACAGCAAAAAATCATTTTCATGTCAGGGGACAGATACAAAACATCGCCTTTATCAAAAAAATTAACAGACCCTTTCTACAAATTGTATGAATAGTGAGACGTGAGGTTCCTAAAGTGACTACTATTTAATGTAAAAAAATTAAATGTCATAGTCCAGTGAGAAATTTCACTGTCCTAAAGGCAGTGTTTCTCATGTGGTGTGCCACAGCAGTGCTGTGTCTCCACAGCATGCAGTGTAATTTTGGTCTTTGGCAGGCAAGTTCCGTAAGAAAAATAAAAAAAAATACTTTTCACATACTTTTATATCTTTGAGGTGTAACCAGGGTTGGACATTCAATGTATACACAAGACAGAAGATTGGTCAGGGCATGAGACACAAATAACAGTGCAATCTGATGGTATCTAAGAAAGAGCTTATCAGTTCTTGCAGGATAATGTGACTGTCCATTTTGAGGCAAATTAAGATTAAACACTGAAATGGGTTTTGTTTATATCATTAATATTAGCTCGGGGCCATGATGTGTGTGGGGGTGGAGGGGGCGATGTGTCAAAATGTATATTTATGTACTGTAAGTGTGTCGTGGGATGGAAAAGGCTGAGAAATGCCACTCTAATGCATCTAATAAACAGTCTTCTTCAAAGCTAATTTTACCTCCTCCTTCACAAAAACATAGTTCTACTGGAAAATACCCCGGGCCAAAAAAAGCTATGGTGCAGCTGTAGCAGTAGTTACAGAATAGCTGATAATGGTGATGATTAATTGGGTTCGTAATGTGCCTTTGTAAGAAAAGACTCAGACCAGAGTTAAAATAAGAATAATCACTGCTTAAGTAATGTATACAGTACAATTCAAAACTGAGAAAAAAGCATTATATTCTAAAAAACAATTTGAAAAGACCATCATCTAAAATTAAAACTCCTGGAAGTTAACCTTCAATAATAATATAAAAACATCTATAAAACAACTTTGTATGAATTTAAGAAAAGGAAGGGCAAGTCAGTCTCTTACCTGTTGAAAAATACAGAGATTAGGAAATGTTCTGGATATGTCCAATTTTATAAGTTCCAGACTTGCCTCTCTGTCTGCTAAGGATGATGCAGTATCTAAAACACAAAACACATTTAAGATTTAGTCTGAAACCAAGCAAGAGGTTACATTCCATCATCCAGTCAAATATATAAAAAATGTATTCATAGCTTGTTTACTGAGCCTATAAACACATGGCTGATGTTACAATTTCTGACTATCATTAGAATTATCATAAAAATAGTACAAGCCACTACTGAAATATTCTTGAATTGAAAATTGATGCAATCCCTTTACCACTGCACTGTATCAAATAAAGCATATTTACTTCTGCAAGATTTTTTTACTGATTGTCTTGACAAAACTAAAAGCCAATGCCACAAAGATATTTCTGACAGACTGTAGGTTAATATTTGAGATAAATGTTTCAGACCCTGATTAATATCAGTACAGTACCTCCATTTTCGGATTCTGGGACAGATGCTGGCAGGGATTTCCATTTTTCTTTGGCTCGTGCCAGACAAATATTGTAGAGTTCTGTAAAAACACAAAACAGTTACCGGAGACAAAGGTTAACAGAATAAAGAAGACTGTAATCCAATTCTGGCTCCCGGGGCACAACAGTGAAACTTTTTTTCCTGATCTGGAAACTACCTTCAAAACACCAAGTTAAAAAACATCAGAGTTTTAGGAATCCAATAAATATTAAAGGTTTCCAATGTATATATAAAATAAAATTCAAATCATAACCAAGAATAACAATATGAAAATGACCAAATCAAAAGTTACTGCAAAGAACTGGACAGTTACAGTATATATAGAACTTGAGGGGCTTAAATTGAAAAAGTTAACAGTTGTTAAATTTTATTAATTGCTTCCAGTTAAGAAATACATTCAAACTTCCAAAACATTCCAAATAAATCCAACAATAGACAGCAGCCATATCACCCTGCAACTCACAACTGGCAACCCACTGAAGCTAAACAGGTGTGAGCCTGGTCAGTACCTGGATGGGAGAACTCCTGGGAAAAACTAAGGTTGCTGCTGGAAGAGTTGTTAGTGGGGCCAGCAGGGGGCACTCACCCTGCGGTCTGTGTGAGTCCTAATGCCCCCATAAAGTGAGGGAGACACTATACTGTAAAATGCCACCGTCCTTCAGATGAGACATAAAACCGAAGTCCTGACTTCATGTGGTCATTAAAAATCCCATTGTGTTTCCTGAAAAGAGCAGGAGTGTTACCCAGGCATTCTGGCCAAGTTTCCAGTTGACCTTTACCAATCATGGTCCATTAATAATCCCTCTCTCTGAATTGGCTTCATCCCTCTGTTCTCCTCCCTACTAATAGCTGCTGTGTGGTGAGTGTTCTGGCATTGCATCATCCAGGTGGGGGCTGCACATTGGTGATGGTGGAGGGGAGTCCCCATTACCCATAAAGCACTTTGAGTGGAGTGTCCAGAAATGTAATTGTAAGTGTAAGGAATTATTATAAGCTTTAATAACTTAATAACTTACTTTGAAAGTGCAAAGGTCTTACAAACCCCTTTACACTAAAGGTTGTGGGAGTCTGAAACAAGCTGCCCAGTCATGTCGTTGAAGCTGACAGCCTGGGCTCTTTCAAGAAAGGACTGGATGAGACCCATGGACCAATTAGCTAGAATAGTCTCCTCTCATTTGCAGTGTTCAAACCCCGTGTTTAAATTGTTCTGCTGCCATCTTGTGGTCAGTACTACATTAAACAACACTTTGCAAATTGACAAAACTTTGCAAATGAACTATGAAATGCACAAAAAGTCAATTTCCATATACCGTCTGGGACACAATTTCATAAACTGTGATCATTATTTTTCCATCACATTTTAAAAGGAAGGTTTTGCAAAATGCCCTCAATTACAGACACTGGTTACATTACACTGGATGCATAATTTAAACCACAGGAAATAAAAAAATCAGTTGAAATTGAATTAGTTTTTATGGATATTTATTCCCAATTAAGAACTACTTCCAGCTGCATAGCACTTCCTTATATATATATATCCTGCTGTTCCACAGAGTCTGTTTAATCCCTGATTTTTTTTCATTTTATTGCAGGATAGAGTTTTTTTATTATATTGCAAAACATGTTCAAGTGTGCTACGCTTCTATATAGAAGAGGACAGAAACTCACTACCATCAAAGTATGAAAAGCAAATGTGCTTAAGGTTTAAAAGTGAAACCTGAGTTTTGGAAATTGTGATTCACAGAATGATTTCTGGAACCAAACTCAAAATTGTTTAACTATTTTTGGTCTGTTACACTACATCACAAACTGAATTGTCTGCATACCTACAATCACAAGTTTTAACTTCTGCTTAATACCAACATTTAAAAATAAATATTTAACCTATAAGTTAAAAGGACAGGATTCACAGATATATAATACTAAGTATAAAACATATGGGAAAATGGGATCGTGTGATTAATTAAGATATTGTTCAAATGCACTTTTCAATTAAAATTAAATTTCTAAAATCCAAATCCTAAAAGGTCCTCAGTCAACAAGGTGTCCAAAACAACATGAATGCAAACTGGCTAGTAACTGTATGTTGCCAATATTACGTTTTAGGATTTGTTCCTATGTACGTTACATATATTTTTTATTTCAGATTTACAGCCCCTGCCTCCGTATAACTATTCAAAAAAGGGCAATATACTATTCGTAACTAATTCTTTTCAGAGACCATTGTTTCATTTAAAGGATATCTGAGCTCTCACTGGGAGACTAGGGATTTAAAGGGGAACTGCACCCGGTAACAAAATACATTAATTAATGGTATCACAAAAGTTTACATATTACGAATTAAGGGCAAAATCGTGAACTCAGTGCAAGCAGTTGCCAAGCCGTTACAAACCACTGGTTTCTCCACAGGCAAGAGCCAAAGTTAGAACTGTGGTGCGAGGAGGCCACTCCTGCTCACTAGACTAATGTAATGTGATTTATGAGCGGCACACACTGTCCCACAGGTGGTGCAGCAGGTGTTTCACTGCAGAAATATTCCAACGTGATCTGCACGCTGAGTTAACAAGCTATATTTGTCAGCAAAACCATCGCGAAGTTGAGAACAATATTATATAGTGGATTTAAAGAGATGTATTCAGCCTGCCTGCCTGTTTACAATATAATAGGGTCGCTTCACATCAACGGAAGACTGGTTGCCTCGCACAGAATATGGTGCTGCACATACCTGGAACTTTTCTGAGGTAAATTGGATGATTTACACATTCCTGTGTACATTTTACTCATTGTGATTTGAAATGCACTCATCAATGCCAATTCTTTCTAACCCCGAATTAATAAAAATAGCGTTGCAGTTCTCCTTTAATGCTGCTTCAGGTTTACATAACTAAGAACTCTTTGTTAGCCTTGAGTAAAAGGTGGAACACACTCTTACTCCATTTACAATAGAGGTCGCTCACAAAAGAAATGCTCTATAAATTATTTACTGAAATGCTACATCTGTCAAACTGAGTCCTGTCTTGACAAAAATATCCTGATCTGCAGAACTACATGTAGAAAATGCTGTCCAAGAATTAAAGGGGTGTAGTAAGATAAGAGACAAAACTTGAAAACTGATACATGACTCCTCTTAGAGTATTTTAATAAGGATACTTTGCCACTTGATAGGAAACACTGCATAATTTAGATCCTAATGGTGGATTAGATTTTACAAGAACAATGAGAAAAGGGAATTAAAATGTTTTAACAAAGCATCTCAAAATGCACACACTTCGAAGAAGTTTTTTTAGATAATATTACCAAGAATCAGTAGTTTTTGTTTCATGTTTAGATTCCTTTTAAACGTCTACCCACAGTTGTTTTTTTTTGTTACACCCACCTGATTCTGGAATGACTAATTCAGTGTTTTTCACATCTTGGCTCACAGGTACAAACCACTCACCCTCACACACAAAAGACTGAGGTAATGTTGGAACCCTCCTCTGATCTGCCTTGTTTTGAGCCCCTCAGATCTTAATGTCAGGGGCGCCATAGCCCTGGACTGGAGGTTGCCTAATGACAAGGCTGAGGAGCGAACTGACGAGGCCTGGATCGCATAATTCAACCCGCACTCGGCCATGCGCCTTCACCGATTCTGCCACATGGGCCACACATCTGTTTTGAGTCAGTGCTTTAAAACATTTAAACAATATAACTGTTGTAAAATGGACAGATGACGCATTACTTCCTTATTACTTTATTTTCCCCTCAGGAAAAAAAGCTCATTTTCAGTGATGAACTGGAAACCGTTCATACAGAAGAGCATCTAGTGAGGCAATCTGAGTAAAGCTGTCCTGTATGGGATTTGAACCTAGGAACCCAAATCATTACTCACACACTGCTGCCTGTTCAATACACCACACTGTTATACTGCGTTAATATACGTTTATACTGTGGTACGTTCAATCTGTATATACCTATGCGCATTTTGCACATATTTTGCTGTTTTACAGTGACTATGAGCATATTTGGCGCACACCTAACTCTATATTTTATTTTGTACTGCTGTACTTATTTAAATTTTTAGTCTATACCAATGCCTGTTTTTGCTGGTCTTGGGCTGGGCTGCTGTAACACCTCAATTTCCCTTTCGGGATCAATACAGTCCTATCCATCTATCAAAGCGTGGGCTCAGCTCACGCAGTTTACTTCTCAAGATGGTCACCAGTTAAAACACAGAGTAACTTTTCCTACGGAGTGTTAAGTTTGAGAGACCAACGAGGGAGAGCTAGAAATACTTCTGATCCTTCTAAAAAGGTTAATATTTTAACAGATGACACTTCTATAAAGATGGGAGGCGACTTCTTTATAAAGTTTGAGGAAATCAAAATCGGGTACCGTGAGTGATGTTCAGCTCGTTGCCCACGGCCAAGCTCCACACCTTGCCACGCACACTTGGGGGCACCCCCTGCCACCACATCTCCCGCACCTTCCTGGCACCGCACCTGTAAGAGACAGCGACATGGGTACACTGTCCCGCTCTCCACGGACAGCCCGGTATCTCTACCTCAAATCATTTTATTGACGTTTTACAAGGGGAATGATGCGTCAAGAAAAACAACTGAACAAAGTTTCCAAGTGATAAATCCTCTAATTTACCAACCCATCTTCCATCCCCACACCCTAAACCACACAGCCAAAGAAATATGGCATAATACAGTACAAGGATGCGTAATCTTATAATAATCATAAAATTATTATTTATAATAAAAATAATGATGAAGCTGTAACAATACCTTTTCTTTTATCTAGAATCGCCAATTATTTTTGATACACAAACTCCAATTGCAATGACAAACTGTTTTTAATGTTTTGGGGTTGCTGCTACGAACCCTACACACATGGCAAAATGAAGAAGTATTATTCAAATATAATACTTGTTCCTGAATACTTATATTATTCAAATATAATAAAAGACAAATGACTCGAAGACGGGCAAGTTGGAGGAGTGGCATGGGAGGTATTATAACACCTCACAGGCAACAGCGCCCCACAGTGGAGGGGAGGTGCATCCTGCACTGATGGCACCACATCTGCAAGTGCTCAGGTGGATGCAGGAGTTGTTGCATCACTGAGAACTGAGAGCTTGGAGAATCCCGGCCACCGTCAGCTCGTTACATGGCTTGGGCTTGAACCTGTGATCAGAGCTAAACTCAGCGCAGTGAGTTTTCAATAAACCCCTTTAGACCTCCCATGTAGACACTATTTTGCCAGATCACTTTCAAATATATATTCTTATAACTTTCGACCATCCAGCATGAGATCTATGACTAGACTATAAACAGGAATCTGTTTTTTATCTTGAAAATGAATGTCTTACGAAAGAAAAAAACTCCACAAAACCTACAATTCACCAGCAGATTTAGTGACAAGACAAGTGCTGTACTACAGTAGAACACATGAACATCTGTACAGCAGCTGGACTCACATGGTTTCCCAGTTGGGCAGAATTTCCTGATTCCAGGTGAGAGCAGCGTTGGTGATGCTCTCTTCCAGTTTGCACCTCTCTTCCAGCTGCTTCTTTCTCTTCTGAGCCTCCTTCATTTCTGAAATGGAAAGAAAAACAGAAGTATCTTTAACACCAGAGGTTAACAAAACTAAAAGTGCTTCACGCTTTTAGTTTTGTTAACCTCTGCAGTGCCTTGATATCCTACAATATAAGGAATAGTGATTACCATGTCTTTGTAGGCTACACAAACACGCAGTCATTTGAAGAATGATGAATTAGTGCTGCAGACAGACCTCTAGGTAATCTGAAAAATGCTAAGTAAATTAACTCATACTATTTATATTCTTTAAGTAATGAAAACTGATTATTTTTTCATTTAATACAGAAAAAAGGGAGCCTTACAATAAATAGTGATATATGCTGTTACTAACTTTCCAGGATTAGTCTGTGGTTGGGTTGATGGTCTGAGTGATTAGCAAGTTGTTGCATACAGTTAATAACAGAGTTACCTTGCCTTCTATTTAAAGAAGACTTTTGCACATGAGAGAATGTTAAAATAACTGCGATACCTTCAGTTAACCCAATTATCTCATGTCTATTATTCACAAAAGTTTCATAATATATATCATGCGCACAAGGGATCTTAGGCGGAGCGGTGGCTCTGTGGCTAAGGATCTGCGCCTGTGACTGGAAGGTTGCCGGTTCAAATCCCGCAGCTGGGCCCCTGAGCAAGGCCCTTAACCCTAACTGCTCCAGGGGCGCCGTACAATGGCAGACCCTGCGCTCTGACCCCAAGCTTCTCTCCCTGCCTCTGTGTCTGTGTCTCCATGGAGAAAAGCTGGGGTATGCGAAAAGATGCATTCCTAATGCAAGAAATTGTATAGGGCTAATAAAGAAACATTACATTACATTACAGTAGAGCAGAAAGTAAAGTGTACGTATGTGTACACAAACACAGAAATTGCTGCCCTACGTGAAGATGTATGAGAAATCCAATCCAGAACAGCAGCGCACTGAACTCTGAAGCTGTCAAAGAAAGTCTGATGAAAGGATCAGCAAGAGATTCTGTGGATAACAGCTGACTGACCCTTTCAGGCAGGTATTTTAAGAATGTTGAGTGAGTCGAGAATAAATTCCAGCACTCAAAGTTTAAGCCAGGTCTATACATTTAGACAGTTACGTTATTATAACATGCCTAAACAGGTGATGCTGAGTCTCACCTAACCTGAGCACATGGAAACCAAGATGGACAGTAAAGATATTTGTGGTAGGAGAATTTCCAGCCATCTGTCTTCTAAACTGCTTCATCAAGTATAGGGTTGCAGAGTTGCTGGTGCCTGACGCAAGCAGGCCAGTCCAGCACAGGGCAGACACACAGGTACAAACACACAGGTACAAACACACAGGTACAAACACACAGGTACAAACACACACACTCACACCAGGGCCAATTTTTCCAGAAGCCAATTAAGCCAATTAACAGGGGAAACCCACACAAAAACAGGGATAACATACAAACTCCACACAGACAACATCCTGGGAATTGAGCCCAGGACCCAGCACTGCAAAGCAGTAAAACTAACCACTGCAACACCATGATGCACCCTAGGAGAATTTACTCAGCAAATATTTTCTATATTCAACAAAGTCTTGCGTTAAACTAAAATACCAACTACTACCTTGAGTCTCTTGATATAGCAAACACTTCTAAATTAGCCCCATGTGAAAATGTGTGTCTCAGCCCTTCACTAATTATCTCATTAATCAAACTGCACCAAACAAGAACCTACAGTACATATAGTACAGATAATAAAGGCCTTAGTAACCTCTTGTGGCAAGTCAGCTGAAACTACTATCCTTACTACTGCTGGGCTGCCACAGTAATGTTTTATTAAAAATGTTTTTTAGGTTTCTAGTGTAACAATTTCCCTGTAACACATCAGTTTTGTACTGTATTCACAGTATTGCAACTCAAGGTTTATGTAGTATGACTTATTATCTTCCGGAAACTTGATTTTAAAAATCAAGGTATGACTTCTGAAAAGTCAAACTTAATAGTGCACATACTTTATGAACCCTATTTTAAATTAAAGGTTGGCTCAAGCAATACTACAAATCTACTACAGCCACGACATGCACATACAGGGGGCTCCACTTGACATCAACTTGTCGTGACCATTGACACAAACTTCACCCAAAAACTGGAGTCCAGAAAAATGGCAAGTTTCTAGCAAAATAATAAATTTGTATTATGTAAAAATCATTACAGAATATGACTGTAGGGGATGTATTTTTTACATCTTTTTTAGGCCCTTAAGATTGTTTAGAGGACATAAACCATCCAACAAAGACGTTCAGAGAAACATTGACAACAGCAGAAAAAAAGATTTTTTTAACTTATCTAGAAGAAGAAATTTCATTCTATACTGTATTAGATGTCCTTATTCATCATTTACTGTATTTGATGTCACTATTATACTAGTATTATACTGTATATAAGTTGAATTAACAGTAATTTGTTGTGCTGCTATAATCTTTGTGTACTTTAGACATGTGATACACTGAAATTAAAAGTTTAAATGAATGCATTGCTGAAATATGTTCAGCACTCACTCACACAACCTTGCTAGCTCTCTCACACGAGCTCATTCATTCTTAATTTACAAATTCTTAAGAGTTTCTAAAATGTTTTAACCAAGGTTAAATTACATATAAATTCTCACCTTAATGGGTCATCATAATAATCATTCAATTCATACACAACAAAAATGAATGTACACTACTGTACATTTAACAATCATGTCCTGATCACTATACTGTTGAAGTACATTGATTCATATAGAGAAATACGTCTCATACAACATCCTCTGAGAATATTTATATCCTCATGGTCTGCATTAACTCCTATTTCCATTATTTCTTATAGAAAATAATTCCTCACTCAACCTCATAAACCCATTAATGTCCCCATTAAGGATATACAGGGACCCCATCTCTTACAAATGAATGTATCTCTGAAATTGCAGTTACCACTCAAGTACACTGGTGACTAGTTAGATGTGAGAATTGTATTAGGAACTGAAAAGTGCATATCAGTAGATGCAGTTGGTACCCTTCCACCTGTGAAGCACTTTCAGAACCTATGGGATGAAAAGCACTATTCATTCCAAATGCAAATGCAAGAAACTAGTTTACCGTTTTAACAGCAAATATTAGCAAGTTAGATTAGAACAGATGCTAAGTAAAGTACATAAAAGACCTTTTGTATAAATATAAAGGAAATTAAAATCATTTGCTGTTAAGCATTAACCAGTATTCTGCACCACTTTTAGAACATATTCCATTAATATGATCAATGATTAATAATTAAATTAATGAACATTCAATTAAGAACGTTTTAAGGAGAAAAGGATCAAGCAGAGGTTAACTCGGTTAACACAAATGCGAAAAAAAAAATTTAAACATTTAGGAAATCTCTCATTTAACATGAGCTTGCGCAACAGAAAAGGCTACACGGCCAAAACAGTTTCTTCTTTTTTAAGTGGGGAAATAACGTCTGAAAAAGTGAAATCAGCAGAACCACACAAAGGAAAACACTACCTCGTTTCTTTGCCTGGGCAACCATCTCTTCATATTGCTGTCTGTGTTTCTGAGCTTCTTCTGCAGGCTTTGCAGGCAGGTTCCTACAACACATAAGCACAAGTCAGTACAAACATTTTACAACTCTTATTCCAAGGGTAATAATTTTATGATAGGTTTAATGAAGTCTTAACTGAGACCGCACAAGCCTCTTCCGAGCAGTAATACTGTTCGCAACTTAATGTTTGGAATACAAACGCCCAAGTAACAGTAACAAACGTTTGAGCAAATTCCCACTGACAACACATACTGAACAAAACCATGTCATCGTTAAACTCTGTCACCCGCAGAGAATTAATGCAAAATGTAGAGCTGTGGGCCTTCAATCCCTTTCCTGCAGAGCTGATATCCAGAAGCTTATATCGGGATTTATTAAATGGATTTCTGAAACATTGCATCTTTGATCACTTAAACTTGAATTTGTTAAATTAAGCAATTTGGACATCACTTCAAACAAAAACCTAAAAAGTTGATCTCTAAAAGAAAAACAGGTGATTTAGCGTGATCTATAAGACTGACTGGATTGAGGCTCTCAAAGACTAGGGCTGGAGACTACTGTCGTAGAGGATCTGGATGTGATTAAATCTTTAAAGTATCTTTTTTTTTCTCTTTACTTGATGAAATTATTGTCCATTCAATTAGTCATCAGTCCTCAGTTGCTGTATAGCACAGGGCATTCCAATTGAAATGCAAATTCAACAGAAAGGTTTTGCATGGAATAGTTTGAAAACACAATCTGTCAGCTTGTCACAAGTTAATATACTAGACAGTAAATTTCCAGTATATTTCGTAAGCGAAAGTTAAATGATTAATTATAATCTAAAAAGTGGAGGAAAAAAACAAATAAACACCTAAATTCATATATACTGAATGTATATTCTATGCATAACTCTTATTCAAGATGTTTCACCTAAAAAAAACACTGTGTATACCTATTACACTGTGTAATAACACAGTGTCATTCATTGAGAATTTCACCCATAATAAACTCAAATGAAAATAGCAAACAAGTGGAAAATGAAAATTTTCATTACCATACATCCATCCCCCATACGGCAATACATTAACACTCTATTACTTGAACCTTTCCTTTAGTTTGGAACGTGCACATTAATCAATATAATGTAACTTCCTTCCTGATACTTACAGTGCTAGAAATTGTAAAGCCCCCTGTGTAGGTTCATATTCTTGTATAGTTTAAACCTAAAATGTAATTAGATCTTCATGAAAGTCCTAATAAAAGATTAACATAACCAGACATGTATCTTATGTCTTCTGTGTTACACAAGATACATGGGGTCATTTATCAAAACAATCCAACAGTAAAAACCCTCACGTAAATAAGTATGTGAACCTTTAGATTCAGCAACACTTTGCTGCCCTCTTGAGCAGAAATGACTTCAAATTGGCTGTAAAGACTATAAGAAGCAGTGTATTAAACAATGAAACTAACAGTTTATCAGTTTCTCAATTCAGGTTTTAGGAATTTTGATATTCTTCCTTACAGAACTGCCTTAAGTCAGTGACATTCAAGGGGATTCTTCCAGGCATAGCTCAGGTTGTGCCATAACATTTTAATGGGATCTGCAGTAAGTTCAGACTTTGACTTGGCCATTCCAAAACACAAAATGTTTTCTTCCTCGCCCATTCGGTTGTACATCTGTGTGTGTTTAGGATCACTGTCTTGCTGCTCATCTTTGGCTTATCTTCAGCCAGTGAATGGATCCCCTGACATTCTCCTCCATTTTTTGCTCATACAACACAGAATTCATGGTTCCTGAATGATGGCAGGCTGTGCGGGTCATGACGCCAGAAAGATGCCCCTAATCATGGTACTCCCACCACCATGTCTGGCAGAGTTAATGAAGTTCTTCTGCTGGAAGGCAGTATTTTGGTGACAGAAAACATTTCTCAATACGGCAGAAAAAACATCTGACTCCCCTGTCCAGAGAAGGTTCTTACACAGGTTTTATGGGCCAGAAAGGAGAGGAGCTCTTTTTAGATATTTTTTTCAGTTTTATTTCGTAAACAAACACAAATCAGCACAAAACAACCACTCCCACTCCACCCACAATAGCACCCCACACCTAAAGAGAACAAAAAGCAAAAAACAAAAACAAAAAGCCTATGGCTACAACAATGGTAGGGATAAAAAATAATGATTTAGCTAAGAATTTCAGACTTCCAATGGTCTGTATAATCACACCTTGGATACGGGGTGTGAAGTCCCAGAAACTTCCAAAATCAAGGTGGCCTACTAAAGCCAAGGGACAGCACCAGAGGTCAGAAATACAGTGCTACTATCATTTTTTGGCAGCCATAGTTATCTGTGAACATCCAGGTACATCTTTGTCTTGAGACTGGCAGCGATGTTATTTTTCTCTAGTTTAGGGAACAATAGTTTCTCCCAGCTATTTCCACATGAACACTATTCCCGTTCAGTTGTTTTCTGATGGGTGAAGCATAAACACTGACATTTGCAGTAAGAGAAACCTGCAGATCCTTAGATCTTACTCTGGTATTCTTTCTGACTTCCTGAATGATTTTCTAGGCTGCTCTTGGGGAGATCTACCTAGCTGGTCTTGGGTAGAGTCATCGGAAAGATTTTCCATAAGTAGTACCTGGATGACAGTGAATGGATGGAGCCTCAAATGCTTAGAAATAGTTTTTCTACTCTGGAACTGCAAAGTTCTGGAACTTTATCCCTAAGTATATCAGCGAGTCACCTTCCCTCAACTCAAAACCTTTTTTAGAAGGGCCTTTACTTAATTGATTGCGTTATACACCCCTTTACTCCAACTGTATTTAATACCTGATCTACTGTCTCCTCTCATTGTATATATCTTGTGTATTTTTTATTGTTGTTATCGTTATGTAAAGGTGCTTTGAGAAGCCACCTTTAAAGGCACTCAAATAAGGATCAACTACTTTTTCAGAGGTCTTCCGGTATTTCTTTTAATCCTAGCAGGACGCGTTTCAGACATTGTTTTCTTGTTACCCAACCATATGACTATCTGTAATTACCTTATTTCTTTGATTTTGCTAATATTATGGGTTCATATTTCACTTACCTCTGATTCTTGTTTTTATTTCTACTTCATATACCATTTTGTATTCAAAATCACTGAACTAGAAAAATCCTTTATTTAAAAAGGACAACTTTTTCATTCAATGAGGGTATTATGGTAAGAAGTTATAATTCACAATCATCTTGGGGGTTCACAAACTTTTTTCGGTGCGGTACATTTAATCTGTTACTGAACTAATCTTACAATTAAGAATAACATTTCTCCTCTTTCATTGTAATGTCTGGTGCATTACATTTAACACGAATGGGAGTTCTTTGACACCTGATCTTCTCACACAGCCTTGCTTTGATGAGGTGATATCAGGAAGCAAAACAAAGTATGTCAAGGCAGAAAGCTTTCCTATGCTGAGTTACCTGCTGGGTATGTACCTTATTGTTTAAAGGTTTGGAAACACCCAGTTATGGCAAAGAGAATAATACAGTACATTCTTCTACACTAATCTCTGCATCCCTGAATAAATTTAACCGTCTCCTTCATAATATGCTGTTGTAAAGGCACTGATGAATACTGTGAAAGCATAATGGCAGCCAGCCCAATATTTCTTGCACAAAGAAGTTAGATAAATTCAAGATAACCACATACCATTGAGAATTAAGATGATATTCATTGAATGAGACAGGGAAAAAAAAAATCAGTCTGAATTTAAAAAAGCAGACTTGGCCAAGGAAATGGTTCTTAATTCTCCCAGTGCGAACATTGCAACAATATTTTATCCCTATGTCTTAAGAGTTGCTTCCTGTACCCCCACCTCACCATTACATTTCACAGTATCCTAAACAGCAGAAAGTATAACAGATTTTTAAAAAACTACAGAAAGCCATTATACCACTTATAATTATACCACTTATAATCCAGCTGCAACTGAAACTAATATTCGTTTCTTTTGCCACTAAGGTTAGCTTAAATTTAAAAATAATGTTTTAAACTGTGCTAACAGTTGATCAGAATAACTCTGTAACCTTTGAGATAATTTCAATAGGAGCTGTGTGTGTCATACTCTACATATTCCTTCATACGTGATAGTGGTTAGGGTGAGATAGTGGATATATAAATTATGTACTTTAAGAAGTATATAGTTACTTCTTAAAATCACATGAAGATCAAGGATTCAAGTAAACTCGCATAGCTCACTTTCTAGGTTTCAGAAGGAAAATTAAAACACTTTGTGCTTAACATTCTGTAGGGGCTATTTTGCATCAGTAAAGACACCTTGAATTTCAATTACAGCAAACATGTAAAATACTATGTGTTCCAAAGAAATGTTATATCATCAAACTGCTACAAACTGAAAACATCTGCTTCTGTAGTAACCTGTGAGAATGCATTTAGTTTTAGAAAAGGTTAGGTTGTTAAAAAATAAGCCATTTGGCTCAAATAAAAATCTGAGCTCAGGCACTGAAGTATATTATCAATGGTACAGCTGGTTTTCTAATTAACCACCAAATAAAATCTTAACAGAAAAAAAGAAAATAGAGGATATGTGAGGGAAAAGTCAATCTTTATTCATTAGAGGAAAATGCATAACCAAATGTACAACAATAATTGTGGATAAACAAAGTAGGGAACATTTTCACCCCTGCTTTACATTTAAAGACAAAGATCCCTAAAGGGATCATTAGTTTAACAGAAGCGCTGGTTTTTATTACTGCCTGTTCCATATACTGCAATCATTTCAGAATTTAAGATCACCCAAGGTCAGAAGCAGTATTATTTTAAAAACAAAATGTCTGAAGTAGTATATTAGTGTTAAAACACTTAAGAAGCTCGTTCCCAGACAGCTACACTAAGGAAATACGTCCAGTAGCTCCTTGCACTCTATTATTTATGGTGATCCGACATCTACCGTGTGAATAGGACATGGTGACCTTGGTTTCTGCACCAAGCTCTGCTGCTGGGACTACACTGAGCATGGTACACTGCTAAAAATGCTACAATATTCTCAGGGAGGATTTAATTATAGCTCAGTTTTATTTCAAGACTTGATCGGATTCTATTGGTACCCACAAAATCTTTTCTCCTTCGGGTCTTAAGCAGGAATCTTAAATATATCTTGAACACCATGTCATCAGGATTAATACAATCAACTAAACAAAAGGCTTGGCAGGGGCAAAGAGACTGGTATGGAACAGAGTTTGCAAACCAAAAGATGCCACACTTAAATAGCATTACTTTGGCTTTTCATGTAAGTACAGCTAAGACAAGACTGTTTAGCAAGAAGAGGCATTTAAAAAAATAAGATATGGTCTGGATCTAAGTGGCACTTGCACATGCCACACTGAAATGGGATTGAAGGGCTATTCAGCACCATGTCACTGAAGGTTGAATCTTGTGAGCTCAATTCCTAATAAGCAATATAAAAATGTCCGCAGCCTAGAGACTGCATTTGGATCACCAATACCAAGGTCTGAGAACGTCATAACATGCTGCACGCAGCATTTTAGCCCAGCCCCCCCACGGCTCCAGCAAAGAAAACTCATTTGTGAATTAAAGGAGACAGGGCTGGCTCTGTGGGGTGGAAATGAGGGTGAAAGTGTTCTTACATAAAATTGCTGGGCCATGCAACACCCTGATATGGGCAACCTGAATGTGCCATTTCTAAGCTTTGGATATTTCTGTATCCTTTTATCATTAAAAAGTGATCTCCAAAACAAACTAATCAAAACAGGTTATACTTTTAACATCTGGAAGCTTATGATACTGACCTCAGCAGCCCATTATAAAATGTTTACCCTGCAAAGTTACAGCTACTGCTTAAACCAAGTAGAAAAGTAATACATCAGAATTCATTAATGATTAATATGTTTTAATCAGTTGTGGATGCTAAAAGACAAATGTGTAATTTTTCTCAGAAAATATATTTTTCCAATGATGACACTGTGAAGTTTATTTTTATGAATTAGTCTTTCAGAATATGCAGGGCCCAATTTTTTAACTTCATAACAGGAAAAACAGTTGTAGTGAACAATCCGTTTACTACAATTCAGACAGTAGCATCACTTCACTGTATATTTTTTGAAAATAAAATAAAGAGGCCTTCCATATTTTTCACTGTCAACAGGCGTAACAGGATTGTGAAATAAGCTACTCTCCACACCCAGGACACACAATTGAGTGAGAAATTACGTGGTACACCCACAAATTATTCAGTGAAACATTCCAGTCATTCAATCGGTTAAGATTACAACACCTAATCATTACTAAAACTTTATGTGTTCAGCTGGAAGAACAGCTACTCACATAAAACATCTCAGTCATCAGCTGGGAATACTGTATCTCTGGAGTGCAAAATCCTGCCTTAAAAATGCCCAGAGGAACAAACGAAAAAGAGGATCTCACAGGGTTAAGTCACCTGCTCTAACGCACTGATGTCACTAAGAATTACCAGCAGATGAAAGTGTGAAAAGGCTCATTGGAAATGAACCCAGTGGACTCACGCTGGCCTGTCCTCCAGGATAAGTGCTGTGGTTGACAGAGGCTCAAAGTCCAGGTTCTTCCTCACACTCTGTTTAGGAGAAGGGGGATTGTGAGGTCGTCCACTTCTTGCTTCATATTCCTGAAAATGCACACATTGGGTTAAGATTCCTGAAACCAAACATAAAACCAAAAGGTGAACTGCCTTCACTTTTGCTGGCTGTGCTCTCTTCACCACTCTCTAGTCAATATACTCCATCCATCCATTTCCTAACCACTTCATTCATTTCAGGGTCATGGGGGAACCAGAGCACATCCCAGCAAGGAACAGGTGAAAGACAGGAGACGTCAGGGCAAACAGACACACACTCACCCCAGAGCCAGTTTTCCCCAAAAGTCGGGAGGAAACTGAAGCACCTGGAGGAAACCCATGTGAACATGGGGGAAAACATAGAACTCCATACAAATAGCACCCCAGATCCAGAACTAAACTCAAGGCCTCAAAGGTATGAGGCTACAATGCTAGCAATATTCAATATATTCCTTTCATTTTATTTGTTTCAAGGAGAGGAGGGATCATGCTTCAAATGGAAAGAAAAGTCTGGAAACGTCAAAGATCCCATTGAAATTTACAGTACCATCAGAATTCAGTTTTGCTGGCAATTTTGGAACATGGCTTCAAAATTAATGTCTACGATAGTCTGCTTGGATGGACTCAGGACTCATTCCACAGTGAAAGACAGCAGGAGGACGTTTTAAAATATTCCATATGCTACCAAACACTAGTTTGTAAAGGGCTACTGCGACTATTTTTATATTTCGGGTTTAAAGAAAAATCAGTTTTGAAAAACCACAATGGAAAAAAAATGTACACGGCAAGTTGTAACATCACAAAATAGATCATTTCCAGGTATGCGTAGTACGATATTGTGCAATTTAGAATGAGGCAACAAAGTTTTTGGCGACTTGAAGCAGGCTATTATTGTATATTATAAACAAGCAGGCTTGCGAATATATTTATTTTAATCCAACAGAAATATTTCTCTCGTCTACAAGATGGTTTTGCCAATAAACAGAACATACTTACTAACTCTGCTTGCAGATCACATTGGAAACTTTCTGCATATGAAATCTGCTGCATAACTGGTAGTTAATTCGCTTGGACATTACACTACATTCATTATTACTGTGACTAGTGAGCAGAGAGGGCCGCATCACATCACAATTCATAGGAACTCACGCTCTCGCCCCTAGTGAGACCACCGGTTTGTGGCAACTATGGTGGCATTGCTACAGAACTAATGAAATGAATGAATGTTTGCACCAAATATTTACAGTGCCCTCCAAAATTACTGCCTGGGACAATTCAAATTAGCCCATTATAACTGTATGCAATAAGATGAATATGAGACAAAAGCGTAAAATCTCCTTTTACCTACTGTATAGGTATTTTTATGCATAAATGCTTTGCCGTTATACAATATCACTTTTTTGCTCAACCCCCCACATTTAAGATGAGCATATGTATTGGGACAAACGGGAACATGTTGCAAACATTTCACACACGAAAAAGCTGTGAAGGTCTTGGCATGGTTGAGGTGTTTTGAAACTGTATCTGAAGTCTTTCACTTGAAGTAGGCAGCAAAAACCAACAGAGAGAGAACTCACTATGACAGGAAAGGTGGCCATTTTGAAATTGAGAGGAAAGAAAATGACCTTCAGAGAAATTGTCAAATCTCTTGGAATTGCAAAATCAACAATCTGGAATGCTGAAGAGTCAGGAATAGGCCATCCAAAAAAGACACATGCAGTGGATGACAAGTGGAAAGAAAACCTCAAAATTACTGTTAGTGAAATCAAAAACAATCTGGAACAAGGCTTTATGTATAGGTGAAACAAAACTTAACATCTATTAAAGTGACAGAAAGGCTAACGTGGAGAAAAACAGGAACATCCAATGACCATGAGCATACCACTTCAGTAAAGCATAGTGGAGGGAGTATCATGGCTCTGGCATGTATGGCTGCTTCCGGAACAGGCTCAATGGTCTTTATTGATGAGTTAACTGAAAATGGCAGAAGTAGGATGAATTCAGAGATGTACACCTTGTAAGAAAAAATGCCACCTTACATTTCGGGCGGCAGTTTGTTATGCAGCAGGACATAGCCGAAACCTGCTGCACACTTAACGCAGGAGTTCAGCAGACAAATTAACTTGTTAAACTGGCCAAGTCAATCTCCAGATCTGAATGCAATTGAGCATGCATTTCATTTGTTCAAAAGGAGGCGGAACGCAGAAAGCCCGACCAACAATCAACAACTGAAAGAGGCTGCAGTAAAAGCCTGACAAAGCATCTCAAGTGAAGAAACAGTCTGGTGATGTCAATATGACAGAGGCTTGATGCGTTTATTGCAAGCAAGGGATTTGCAACTTTCACCTCTTTCGTTTTCTTTAAGTTTTAAACTAGAAAAGGGTCCCAATACATACAGGATGGTCACCTAAATTTGGGGGTACTGAACACAACATACTGTATGCTTTGGTTGGAAAATGATTGTTTGCAAAATATATCCTAAAAATAAAAGGGGACCTTCTGAACTCCGATTCAGAATAATTTGTTTTATATTAATTTCAATTTCTTGTGTATTTAACAGGGAGATGCCTTTTTGTCTCATTACTTTCAGAGGGCACTGTATATTAAGAGAGATTAAAAACTTGTTACTTTTTAAACAAAAATACTAAGTAAAAACTAAGGGAGATTACAAAAAAGAAAAGGAGGCTAATTATCTGCTTATTTTCTATAGTATATTTAAAAAGGTTGATTGCCTTCACAGTTTGTTCAGCTAGCATTGAAAGAAGTAAGCACTTCACTTTAAACTGCATTTTAACTTGCATTCAAAAACAAAACACTACATTAACAAAATAAAATTCCTGTTGGAAATGCTATCCGTTATGTAATGAACCCTGTTTGAAAAAGCATGCAGTGTCTGAAAAACATACTGCTTGTGAGAGATTGGTTTATTCATTAACCATGTTTCCACCTAACTGATCAGCTGCACCCACTCCCGTGTGCTGCATGCTCAGTTTTTCCCCCCCAATGTCATCGCTACTTGAACTTGATAAGATAGCAACACACAACTTCGTATCTGAAGCTGCATGTAAAGTAAAAGGACAATCATTTCAAAGCACACGTACAACTTCAGAAACAATATAACAAACCAGCTGAGATTTCTGAAGGTCTGGTCATGAATGTCAGAAATCTTAAAACTCTAAAAGCACCGAATTCTCCCCCCCATAGTAAAAAAAAAATTCACACAAAAAAGACAACTTAAGCTGCAGAAATCTAACAACGTTCTTTTTTAATCAAAGGAAGATCATTAAACATAAATGTGGCATTTAAGAATTAAACAAGTGAAGTTAAAAGGTCAAATACTTGGGTACCTCTTTTCATTACATATAGATGGATGTGTGACTGCTCCCCTTTGTCAGAGTGCTCCGTTAGGTCTCTAATTGGATTATATATTTGAAAAGGGTAGAAACCAATTCTCTAGATTGTCAATTGATACGCAGTTTCTTGACATTGTAACTAAGCAAAAAAGTGTGATTTTTTATATTTGATAGTTCACAGCATCTTCACTTTTCTTTGGCTAAAAAAAAATCCACATTACAATATGTGGAGTAATTCTGTGAGATGTTCACACTGATTAAATCAGGACCTCTTCTTGAAGCACAATTTCATTGACTGGCCTCAGCTTGGGTTAGTGGACCAAGCTGGGAAACAAGGGAAAAACCATCAGCTAGTGTCATTAATCATAGTCTCTTTGGAAGACTGAAAATGGGCAGCTGGCATACAATTGTTAGAAAAGCAAGATCAAATCGGAAGCCTCTTGAAGAAAAACCCAGACTTACATGTGTTTTTGATCTGGAAGGCAGATTTTAATTAATAATAATGCTGCTTAGGCACCAGCTCCTGTTTTAGAATAGGAGTTTATTTTCTAACATTTTTAACCCCCCCCCAATGTGCCACATACTGTACCTGTATGCAGACACTAAGAGCAGAGTGGCAATGTGAGAGATAAACACTCTCCAGAACCACACAGAACCAGTGTTCCAATGTACAGTTTCCCATAAAACAATTTGATCTCTGATCTTCTGAAGTGAACATTGCAACAATAAATAGAATGTTGGCAAAAATGATTAATCTGATTAATAATAAAACCCATTTATCACTTCAAAGAGATTTATGATTATACTAATAATCTTTCCACGTCTCCAAATAATTTCGATTAGTATCTAGTAACCTTAACTATCAGGAATTCACCTGCATTCTGACAGGAACAATATCCATTATGCAGCTACATTACATAAGAAATACAGTGGATATAAAAAGTCTACACATCCTAATTGAAATTGCAGGTTTTTGTGATCTAAAGCCAGAAATAAAGATAAATCATTTCAGACATTTTTCCATCTTTAATGTGACCTTGCAACCAATAAAAGTCAAGAGAAAAACAAATAAGAATTATTTGGATAAAGTATTGAAATTAAGAAACCTACAACACCTTTGCACACATACTCAACTAATACTTTGTGGAAGCACTTTTTACATTTATTACAGTGGTAAGTGTTTGTGAATAAGTCTCTATTAACTTCGCACACCTGGACTTTTATCCCACTCTTCCTTACAAAAAAGCTCAAGCTCATTCAAATTGCCAGGGGATCTCCTATGCACAGCCCTCTTTAGGTCATTCCACAGGTTTTCTATGGGATAGAGGTCTGGGCTCTGACTGGGCCATTCCAAGACGTTGATCTTCCTTTTCTGAAGCCATTCCTTGGTTGACCTGGATGTGTGCTTTGGGTCGTTATCATGTTGGAAGGTGAAATTCCTCTTTCTGACAGAGACCAGCAGGTTTTGTGCCAAAATATCTTGATATTTGGAGCTAGTCATTATCCCATCTATCTTGACTAGAGCCCCTGTCCCAGCTGAAGAGAAGCAGCCCCAAAGCATGATGCTGCCACCTAAAGTAGGGTATGGTGTTCTTTGGATGATGAGCAGCGTTGTATTTGCACCAAACATATCTTTTAGAATTAAGGCCAAAAAAGTTCACCCTTTGTCTCATCAGACAATAAGACATTTTCATACAT